AGAGGAAGAGGGAGAGGGAGAGGGAGAGGGAGAGAGAGAGAGAGAGAGAGAGAGAGTTCTCATATTGAGCTTTTTTATGGGGGTGGGAACTGAAAAATATCTGTTTCTCCAAAAATTTTTTAAAGATATTACATACATTTTTGGTACACTTATAGCTGAAACATTATCCTAGTGAGTAAAGCAACGACTTTTACAAAAATAATTAATAAAATTGATTCCATTGCAAAGCTAATCAGTTGCCACCTCCCATTTTCTTGATGTCAAAATGAAAGAAAGTACACCCCTGTAAACACTCACCCGAAACATATTTCACCAACGTGGCTTGACTTTATTTTGATTTGTGCTCATCGACTCACTTGAATTCTGAATCCTTTCTTTGGTTTTCACAAAAAGTAATACTGTGTGCATGTTGAGTCCTTCTTTTCCAAATATTATCATTGGCCCGCTGTTCAGATGTGCTACCCCCAAATTTTGAAATTTTAACGAAATTTCAGTGTTTGAGAAAGCATACCGTGAAATATATTTTTCTTTTTTTTTCCAGATTCACAGCCTTTAAGTTTTGATGCCGATCACTCCTTCCACAAAGATAAAACCGTTCATGTGATTCAGCAGGAAGATGAGAATGGAAAAACAAACAGATTTATTTTTGTCGTTGTAAGTTTCATTCGTTCATCTATAATGCTCTTACTTTTAACGAAACAGGTTGCCCACTGTTGTAGGCCTTTGTATTCTTGAATGTGTTTCTTATTTTGTCAATTTAATAGACCTGCATGTTTGCCGACAATCGTCTGAAATCCGACAATGGCAACCCGACCCGCGAACCGGCCGATGCTTTCGCTAGGCCCGCCTGTATCAGTCAATGTGCGTAGTGCGAGGCTTGGCCGACTGCCAGCGACCCCTCTTTCTCCCGTCGGCTTCGTCGGCACTCTCGTTTTCGTGCCGACCGCCGACGCGCGCACCGCCGACTGCCGACGTCGGCGTTTCCGACATAATTGTCGGAACCTAAGTAGAAATGCGAATACGAAAAAGGACGACAACTTAAATTATCTACTTTTAGTTTCGTGCTCGAGCGGCCATTTTGAATTTAATTTGTTGACTAATTCAATTGTTCAGATCGTGTGGATTCATTCAAGTCCGACTCTCTTGTTCTAATAGAATCTAGATCTAGATCTAGATTTATATAGATCATTATAGACCTCAATGGGGGATTCATATTCCAATTCTATTGTTAGACCTGCATGTTTGCCGACAATCGTCTGAAATCCGTCAATCGCGACCCGACCCACGAAACGGCCGATGCTATCGCTAGGCCCACCTGTATCAGTCAATGTGCGTAGTGCGAGGCTTGGCCGACTGCCAGTGACCCATTTTTCTCCCGTCGGCTTCGTCGGCACTTTCGTTTTCGTGCCGACCGCCGACGCGCGCACCGCCGACTGCCGACGTCGGCGAATCCGACATAATTGTCGGAACCTCAGTAGAAATGCGAATACGAAAAAGGACGACAACCTAAATTATCTACTTTCAGTTTCGTGCTCGAGCGGCCATTTTGAATTTCGTTTGTTGACTAATTCAATTGTTCAGATCGTGTGGATTCATTCAAGTCCGACTCTCTTGTTCTAATAGAATATAGATCTAGATTTATATAGATCATTATAGACCTCAATGGAGGATTCATATTCCAATTCTATGGTGTCAAACCCTATCATAGGTTGTGCTGTAATATTAATATTGGTAAAAATAAGCATTTCATCAGGTGCGTGAATTATTTATTTATTTAGATCTAGAATAGATCTAATTCTAGATCTAGATCTAGAATCTAGACTCAGCTGAGTCCCTCTGTTCGGAATCGGATGCGGATTTCTAGTTCAAGGCCTATTCCTATTCACTTGTTCTACAAGATCTAGATCTAGGTCTAGATTTATTTAGATTACTAGATCTAGATCTATATAGAGGATTCATATTCCAATTCTATTGTGTTATTGTATCAAACCCTATAGCAATGTAGATGTAAGCCATATAGATCTAGAATCTAGATCTAGATCTATATGCTCCTTGTTTGTTTTGGAGTGGTTTTTTAATTTAAATTTATTTTTTTTCCATTTAGGACTTGTTCTGGCCCTTTTACATGAGGCCCGTTGCAGGTTCTTTTTGGGGGTAGGGTTAGGGTTAGGTCTCTTCTTTATTGTGTTTGTTGGGGTAGTCGCTCATTACTCGGATGTCCTTCCTTATGACACCCACAAAGGCTTTTTTTTTAAGGGAGGGGTTGCACAAAATTTTCAGACAATCTGGTTTAGGCTCACATGCAGGTCTAATTTAACTCAATCTTACGTACATCATCATTTCTGTGCAGCAGCTTTGTTCTTCTTCTTTTTCTTCTCCTCCTCCTCCTCCTTTTCCTCCTCCTCCTCCTCCTTTTCCTCCTCCTCCTCCTCCTCCTTCACATTTTTATTCTCCCTTTTTGAAAGTATTCTTTTCATGAATATATTATTGACTTCTCTAGATTTTTCTTTTCCTTCTTAAAAAATCTTTAGTAATCGTTGGGTTTACACAACTGTCATTTTTGACATCTTTTTATTGATTTTCTTTCCAGGGATTTGACACATTCAATGACGAGTCGAGTGAATCAATGAAACAGAATCAGCTGGAGGAAAATTACGGCTTCGTCTATGGGGAAAAGAAACAGAAAAAATCTCCGCCAGGCAGCTGATAGTGCTATGGTAGCACTGTGTAGACTGTGTTACTATAGCACCGGTTAGACTGTGCTATGATGGTATTGTTTAGACCGTGCTATGGTAGCACTCTTTAGATTGTGCTATGTTTTGGGGATGGGATGGGACGCGAAAGTTCAGAATAGCCCTCTAGTCATATGTAATTTCGATTGCATACATACTTGCACGATCCTTGCCATTGTTTACATCACTCTTTGAGTCATGTGTACAATGGATCAGTGGAATGTGGCTATTCTTTACTTTTGCGAAAAAATAAAAAATCTTTGACATTCTTCAATTCCATGTGGTGATATGTGGTAATGGTGTTGTTATATTTATTTGAGTGACTGGCTCTGTTACATTGCTGATTATGTTGTAGTTTGAATGAGGTGTGCATTTTGCTATCTCAGATTTGGTGCGTGTTGCTGAGACAACGACTCACAAAGAAATAAGTCTTTGCAGGAGAGACATTCATTTTGGTACTCTAAATTTGTACTTGTGTGGGATCCAGCACTATGTGAATGCAATCGTCTATTGTTATTATTTTTATTACAGTTATTATGATTATGACTATGATTATGATTATTTTATTATTTGTTGATGTGCTTGTTACTGAAATCAATATCTCTCCATTTGAATATTGTCGGCCAGCTGTTCAGATGTCATCATCTGCCTCTTTCGCCCAGGTATTGGGTATAGGGAAGAAAGAAAGTTTCTCCACCTGTCTCTGTTCTAGGTGATCTTCTTTACCTTCTGTCAGCTGTGCTTCATATGCCTGAGATCTGGGCGTGCCCAATCCCCGGCCATGTTCTTTGGATCTCCCTGTCTATCAATCGGTTGTTGTTTTGTTTTCCTCCATAGAATTATATATTTCTGATAGAGTTGGATCAGTGGATTTTTATGATCTTTCTCAGACAACCATTGATGAAGGACTGAAATTGTTTACAATCTGCTTTGATAGTTTTCGTGTTTCGGATGGAAAATCCTGATCTTTGCACTTGTCCTGTTGCTTCCTGATCTCCAGACAGACTGTAATTGTTAGAAATCTCCCGTTGCTTTTCAGATCCTGGTTTTATACAGCAGACGTTGTTTATTCAAGATAAATGGATATTTATTTCATTGGAAGCTAGGTAAATAAATCAGCTTTCAGATGATACCAGTAACTCCACATGCCCAAAAATTGACGAGTGCCTGATTTTACCGCGTTGAGACACATTTTTAAAAGACTGAAACAGTTTATTTTTCTCTCCTGAAAAACTTTCCTTTCTGGGCACGAAACAATTGAACAGTTTGCCGACGCTTGAGCTTAGACTTAGAGGAGGCTAAATGTGGGGGATGTCTTTTAAAAAAATTTCAGTAACATATGCTTTTTTGCATCTAGTATTACAACATATATACAGTTGATTGGTTGTTGATAGTATCAGATATAAGGTGAGCTTAGCTTAAGTGTTATTGGGGGTGAGGAAGAGCTGTGTGAAGATGATGATTGTTAAGCAAATGCCAAGGCTCTTTTTTATTCCTTCAAGTTCAAGATGGCAAATGCAGAAAGTTTTTCTGATGTAAATCAACCCACACCCCCCTCCCGTCCCTCACACCCTGCAGTTTTGTGACATTCTTGAGACCCTCATGGAAAGGGTTTCAAATATCTACCCATTGTCACACCCCTTTTATGTTCATGTACATCTTGTAATGTTTTGAAACGCACATATTATTATTTTACCAGCACTGTGGAGGAGAATTTAGTGCACTTCATATTCCACAAGAATCTGGTATTTGTTTCAATTTCAAGGCATTGGCACTCATATGACCTTATGCAGTTGCGAGCGCAGTAACTTCTACTATAAAAAGAAAGAAAGAAAATTTTTTTAGGGTGCACCTTATAATTTGGTGTGCAATTTTAGCAACATATTAAATTGCGGGTCAAATTTGAATGGAAGTGTAAAGAGTTATGATTTTTTTTCCTTTCCACTTTGTCTCTTTGCCAATTTATTATGTCAAACTTATGATGTCCGTGATGTGAAGAAAGTTGTTGTCTTTGAACACAACTGTGGCCTTGAGTGGTATCGTACTGTTTAGTTTAATTTTCTGGCTTTGTTTTCAGGAGATGTTTTTAATCCAACAAAGAGGAGAAATATTTGTAATGAGCAAAAGGGAATTAGGTGTTAATTGCAAGGAATATCTCCAAGATGTTCCCCCAAAAATTTACTACATTTTTTAAAGCAGACTTTTTTTTTGTTTGCTTGTTGTGGGACAATGCTTTGGGTTTAAGGTCAAGACCCTGAAAGATTGTTTTTGATATCGATATTATTTCCGTACCGTACATTTTGATTGTGTTATTTTATTGAATTTGTAAGATGTAACTGGGAAATAAGATATGATTTCAAGGAAAGGTTCTGGAACTTTTTTTTATGCTTATTGTTTTTGTGGTCTTAGCTAGTTGTTTTACAGACAAGGCATAATTTCTTTGACCTTATGTTCCGCTTTTCAGTATTCTTTAAAGCTGTGAGGTGCTGATCTTCAGCTTGTATATTATTTGGTCTGCCTTGCATATATTAGTCAGACGGTTTTAATGTGATGAATATAATAGAAGTATGTTTTAATTCATGAGTCACGTACAGTGGAGTCTGCTTAAACAGAAATCTGTGGGACCACTGTATTTTCTTTGGTTTAGGCGAGTATTTGGTTTAAAGAGGTGGATCGAATCAAATAAAAAATATCAGATTTTATTTTCATTTGGTGTACTGCATGTGGATTAAATGTGTTTGGTTTAAGTGGACTCCACTGTTGATTATTCTCTTGTTTGTTTACTGAGACCAAGTTCTGACTCTTCTCTCTGTCTACCACAGGATAGTTTTGTTTGATCACTTGAGGTGATTTCTGAATCCAGGCTAATGTCTTGCATTAATTAATCATTTTCTTTGGTACTATGAACATGTTTTAACAGACAAGTGAAGATGGCTCATAGCTCTAAGTCTGTTGTTAAATCTTACAGAAAATCAAAAGGAATATCCTTTTTGTAAAGTTTCAAACCCATTCCTTATAAAGAGTGCTAGCTGGTTAGTCAAACAAGTATTTTAGTTTTAGTTTTGTTCCATTGTTATAGGTTTTTTTTACCTTTGAAAGTGAGTCCATAGCAATTGTACTGAGACTAAATCTGCTGACATCAGCGTGTGTAATGCCCTGATGAATTGAGATTATCATTGTCATCATTATCGTCAGCCTTTCTCACCCTGTGCCGGAGTATAGGCCAACAACAAGAGCTCTCCACCTAATTCTATCTTGGGTAATAGTCTCCACCTCTGTCTAGCTGTATCCCACCTCCTTTAGGCTCGAGTTTATGTCTTTCCTCCAAATACTTTTAGCCCTTCCTCTCTTTCCTAGTGGATTCTATCTTAAGGCAAGGTGGATAATATTTGTTTTCACTTTGCTCAGGGTGTATCTAATGCACTTCCATTTTCTCTTACTCCTCATTTCTATCTATTTTCTGTTGATTTGTTTGCTCCGACTGATAGGAATTTATTAGTGAACTGTGCTCCTGGTGGTTGCTGTTATTTTGAGAGCTGTGTCTAAATTTCCTGCTGCCTCGTTTGCTCAATGTGCAGTAGAGTATTGGAATATATTTTGTATTGTGTTAAAATGGGTTCAAAATGTGCCGGTCTCTCTTGTTGAATGCATTGGCATGTCTGAGCATGTTTGATGTTGAGTATATGATGACACTATTAACCAGCTTGTTAATAATTCGTTTTGCTGTCTTTGAAGTTGTCTAGAATATGTCTGGAAGGATGTTAAACTTCACAATAAAACAATATGTTTTTGCTCAGTCTGGAAAATTTAGGTTCTTGCTGATTCTTGCTGTAGTCAGTACATTCTTCTACTGTATGGAAGTAGTCTAGCACCCACATAGTGAAATAAGGACGAACACAGCAATCTTTTTGTTATGTTTGAATTTTATATATATATTATATACACTCACGCACACATATATAAGAAAAAATTCAGGACCTAGAAATCTATATTGCTATGTGCGTGCTAGACTATAGTGTCTGTGGAAAGACAATACAAAAAAACCTGTTTATTCCTCAACATTGCTCTGAAAAATATTTTGATGCTCACGATCGCTTGTGCATACTCGCTGATAGTAGATAGGTATGTTGTATCTTCTTGTGCCCAATGGATAGTGTGTGTGGAAAGTTGTTTAATAGGGAGAATCCGATTTCACTATAGTGCCTGTACTTGTGCTTATAAGCATGTGTTGTCTACACAGCTGAACTGTCAAAAATCAGGTTATCGCTCTTTTGATAAAAGTGGTGGTGGATGACTGGTGGATGCTCTGGTGTGGTTTGCTCCTTCTTTCCTGTCGATTAACCCTATCCGTATGCCCTGGGGTCATTTTGTACCTCCGGGGTTGTATTCTTCACATTTTAGAATACTTCTAGTGCAAAGATCTCTTTGAAACTTTAAGTATTTCTCAAAAAATCATTTGGACAGACTGCTATGCAAAGCGTACGAATCAGATTTACGAGTAAATTTCCTCATTGGAAAGTGGTAGAGAGTGAGAGTTCCCCACGTCGTATGGATACAATAGTAAAACACGACGTATGGATAGGGCCAAACATCTATCGGGTTAAACATCTATCATCTTTATTTCTCCTCTTTCTTTTTGTTATAATATATGTTACTCTGGCACTTACATGAACAATACTAAAACTAAAAAAGAAAGAGTGATGTGGCTTCATGGTTTATTACCTACAATAGAACTATATAGCCTACACATCGGGTGTGAGACTGAAGAAAAATAATGGATGTGATGTGTGTTAAAAGACATTGAAGTCAGAATATTGTCAATGAATGTTATGAATTTCTTTTATCCTTTATATTGCTTGTGAGGGTTTCATTCATAAAGGGTTAGGCTATTTGATTTTCCATTTTAAGCTTATTAGGAAGTGTTATTTCCAGAGTGTTGCCTCTTTGGTATACATCATCTTTCAAATGTTTCTAATGCCCACTAATTGGACCATTTTTGCTTTTATTTTCTCTTAATTTTTCATTTCACTGTTGGGTGATCTGGTTAACTGTAGCTTTATTATTTTTATTTGCAAGTTTTTGATTGAGTAGCGTCTGTTTGAAATGTTCTTACAGTTTTTCCTCCTGGGATGCCTCTAATCGTACAGTACAGCATGTACAGTACAGCATGTACATCTTTATGTTCTTCCTAAATTTGTTTCGCAAAGAGTGCATACTCCCGTGACTTTGTGTTGTGTTACTTATGGCTTATTTTCCCAGCATCTCAAGGTTTGCGTCAAATTATCATCGACAGAACGATTGTGTCACAAGTGTACTTGTAGAATGCAGTTAGATTTATATTTGTTTTCATAACCTTTACATGCTTTTGAACTTTATAAAGAGTAGCAGCACTTTACAATGACAGCGCTGTCCTAAAATCAAAAGCCCTTGTTTATCTTTTGTACTTTTGTTACTAAAATTTTAACCCATGCTTAGAAATAGAATGTTTAAGGAACTCATTGAGCATATAAGCAAAGTGAAAAGCATACCTGCCGAATTTTTTAAATCGATCCAATCTCATGCTCTTTTCGTCTCTTTTAAATTAATTTGTGAAAATAGCTTAGTTCAAGCTGTTAAGCGCTAACATTTTAGTGAGCATCCATCTTGTGACTGACTGATAAATCAGGAGTAAGGATGCCCTTTAAACTGTCTGTGGAAAAGCGTACTTATCACTAAGATTGGACCAGTTTTTAATTGTAATGAACAGAGCATGTGTTAGAGTAAATGCAACCAATATTTGGAGAATGTGGTTAAGTTGCAGAAAGTCAGACATGTTTGTGAATTTTTTTTTCTTTCAAGGGGAGTATTTGCGTTTTAGCTGTCTGGCATCCATCATCCTTATCTCTCTTCCTTCTTTTCTTTGTATGTAACGCTCTAGTAACACCCCTAATCTTTGACACTTATATGACCTATTTGTGTTTCAAGTGCCGTAAAACTGTTACTTAAACTTAACGACAAAATACAAAAACAACTCACAAAAAAATATTAAAAAACCAAACGAAACCAAACAAAAAAACAATTAAGACTCTTCAAGGTGCTCTCATTGAATCATAGGTAAAATAATAATATAGCCGGAAATGGAAAACCAGGTTGCTTATGGATTTGAACCATGTCTGGCTCACGTCTGCCACTAACTAACTGCGCTGCTGTGTCCAGTTTGCTTAAATTGTTGAAGTAGAAGGTTTGTGTGTTTTTTCAATAAGGGCTATGTGGTTGAACATGACGCAGGGAGCACACACATGCAGGCAATGAGTCATGATGAGTCATGGCGGGCTGGGCACCCAGGTCTGCGTCATTCATTTCTCCTCCTCCTCATCATCTTCATGTGTTTAGAAGAGAGAGTGGCAGGTCTGGAGAGAGAGAGAGAGAGAGAGAGAGAGAGAGAGAGAGAGAGAGAGAGAGAGAGAGAGAGAGAGAGAGAGAGAGAGAGAGAGAGAGAGAGGGCGAGAGAGAGAGAGAGAGAGGGCGAGAGAGAGAGAGAGAGGGCGAGAGAGAGAGGGAGAGAGAGAGAGAGAGAGAGAGGGAGGGAGGGAAAGAGAGAGAAAAGGGGGGGGGGGGTAGTAGAGTGAAACAGCCTTGGCTCGCATTTGGCTAAAAAAAAAGTGTGTTAGCTACCCTACATTATGATTATAAATAATAATATGTCGATGGTGTGAGATTGTAGAGGTTTTTTTATTTGCTCATCTGCTCTTGTGATACATGTACTTTTCTTTTTTCAACTTACAAGCTATCCCGAGCCACAACGTTCCATACATGTCCCCTTTTGTGTATCTAAGTTATGTTCTCTGTTTGCTTTCTTTCTCTTTCTCTTTGTCTTTCTCTTTCTTTTGCCGTAAATTACAGTTACTCTTTTTCATATTAGCGTGGGTGGTGTAGTAGTTGGGCTTTTTACTTTTCCATGCAAAGAATTAAGTGATGAAGTTTGATCTCTACATAATGTGGAAGTGGAAGATACGAATTGTTACTGATTTATTATCTCTGTCTTTTTCCGAAGGTGTATCTCACACAGCCTAAATGGCTGTGATTGGCAGGGGAGTTAGCAGCCTGCCTCCTAATTGATACACATTTTGTTGGCGAGGTCATAGAAACCATTTATAAGAATTTTTGTTTTGTTTTGGTAAATATGACTTTGCTTACGTCCTGCTTACAAGATAACCTGCTGTTGAAAAAGATGTATTTTTGTTTGTCTGTTGTATTGCGTGCCCATTTGGTGCAAACTGATCTTTAATATTTCATTAAAATCTTGTTTAAAATTTTATTATATTTTTTTCGAGTTCAGATGTATACCTACTTGTGTTTTAGTGTTGTGGTAGCTCGGTGTGGATGATTAATATGGTGTGGTTTTTCTTCTCGTTTCCCATCAAATGAAAAGAGAGAGAGAGAGAGAGAGAGAGAGAGAGAGAGAGAGAGAGAGAGAGAGAGAGAGTGCGTGTAGGCAATACAAAAAAAGAGGGATTGATAGAGAGAGTTAAAAGAAAGTAACAGGGAGAAACAGAAGAACACAGAGAAAAAGCTTATACAGGACGACATGAAGAAATGAGTGACATGTGGAGGGAAGAATATTATGCATGTGACCCCCATCTCTAGATCTATACAGTAAGCCTGGGTCAAGTACAACAGGCTTTGGATGGTGAGGGAGTGCACAGTGTATTGATCGTTTGGCTTTGGATTGCGCGACAATACGATGTACCGAAGGTGGAGCAGACTTGCTTGGGTGATAAATAATGGTGTTACGACGCGGTGAAATCGGACTTGTTGGGCGTATGGAATTATTGGTATCATTTGAAGCTCGTTTGTCTGTCTTGCTTTTGATGAAAAATATCGATCTATGTGGAATAGAACTCGAGATAATTGCGATTGAAAGAGGTAGGAGTCACCAGGTGCCAAAGTAAAATTGGGTAGAAAATGGCCACCATAGTTTTGTGACTTCCAAAGCTTTTGTGTCCCTGGTAATGACAAATTTACATTTTTTGTGCTTTTGATCGCAGTTTTTAAAAAGTAAAATCCACTCAGAAATGTGTGTTTAAATAGACAAAAGGTGTTGAGCAAAAACCCCCAACAAAAAACAACAAAAAAAACAAAACAAAACAGAACAACAAAACTCAACAAAAAAAACCCCAACCTATGGTAATAAAACACCCTCCCCACCAACCCCCCCCCCCAACAAAATAAAACAAAAACAAAACAAAAACAAACAACAACAACAAAAAACAACATTAACCAAATTGCACACGGGGAGGAAAATGCTTATTTCTTTGATTTCATTATTTTGACGAGCGCCTCATTTTTACCTGGACGCCATGGATTGTAAAGCCTACAGAACTTGTTATTGAGCGGGAATTGGCGTTATACGAACGCTATTTAATTATATTATTACAGTAGACCTTAACACACTTTGACGTAAGTTCCATCATACATTGCTACGAGTATTTTGATGAATTATCTCTCGACCAATTAATTTATTGTAATGCTGCGCCAGACAGCCGAGACTCTCCGTTCAGAGTAATCACACGTAATCAGGGCTTTTGTCTGCTTTTAACTATTAATACGGTTTGAATAAGTTATCATAGAATAGAACCTAGTTGTTTTGTTTTGTTTTGTTTTCATTTTTTTTTTTACCTCTGAATTCATTAGTTAGGTGTTAAGATGATTTTGGTTTTTATGTGTGTGTGTGTGTGTGTGTGTGTGTGTGTGTGTGTGTGTGTGTGTGTGTTTTTCAACTAAAGATTTGACGTCGGTTCAACCTTACTTCTGCCAAAAGTTGAATTATTAATAATGATTAAAGCATATCTGGAACACTGATATATCTTTCTTTTCGTTTTGGTTGTTACTGTATTCAAGAAGCATTAAAACAGTTTGTTTTTTCCGGAAGTGGAATGTCCATGGTTTGATGCTGGACTGTCTTTAAATCAAAATGTGTGAAATAATCTGCTGTCTAGCCGGCGTTTGTGGCCTAGCGATTAGGTGCTTTGTCTTCGCATGCAGAAGACGTGAGTTCTTTTTCTTTCTTTTTTTTTGGGGGGGGGGGGGGGTTTGGTAAGTGTTTTACGGCGCTTACAATTACATAAGGTCATGAGCACACGGGACGCATTAATATTTTCAGTAGGAAGAAATTTTTCAATTTTGCCCGGGTGGTGGCCGAAGCCTACTCTTATCGATTTTTGGACCACAGAGGGATCTTTAACGTGCGCAACTTACACACGGGACCTCTGAGATTTTTCGCCCTTGTCCGAGAAGGCAAGGTGTAGATCTTTCCTACCATAAGATCTGGGGTGGGCCTGAAAGACAGCAGTAAGAAGGAGCCAAAGAGTAGCAGTGGAAAGGCTGGAGAAAGAATCACAGCCCCGGAGGAGGGGGCAAAGGAGGTGAGGGCAGAGAGTGGAGACGAAAGCAGACGATAGAACATTGCTAGAGAGCAGGAAAGGGGGTGAAAAGAGAACATTTTAGAGAAGAAAATTTTCCGTTGCTCTCCGGATTCGAACACGGGGCCTATTGAATGAGAGGCGAAGATCTTAACCTCTAGGCCACGAGAGCCCCCAGACGTGAATTCGATTCCTGTATAAGGAAGTCTTGTTTAATCGAGTATCTCCGCATGTCTGTAGGTTTGTTGTACCCCACTCTGTCCCGGTTAGTCCTGTCAGGTCGCTACCCTAGAATTACAAAGTTCTATCTCCTCAGTACCTAGTTTGGAGAAATTTGACATAATTTTTTTTTCGAAAGAAATTATTTGAATAAAATATATTGATAATGACTTCAAACATTCTTATGATTTTGATATAGCAGATAAAACGTTTGGTTTCTGGCTTCATGGTTTTAGTAACTCAAAACGGCCAATAAATGTAATTGTAAGGTAGCGAGAGTCTACAATGCTTTGGTCTCCCCAGGCCTGTTATTCAGCGCTGAGACTTGGACGGTGTACGTAGAAGCTTAATCATTCCCACACGAAATGCTTCAGGGGAATTCTTGGCATCAAATGGAGCGATAAAATACCTGACACCGAAATTCCCGAAAGGGCAAATGCTGAGAGTCCCGTTTTCTAAGCTCAATAGAGCTCAGCTTTGCTGGGCTTGTCATGTCGTAAGAATGCCTGATATCAGAAATTCAAAGGCGGTATGCTATTCCAGACTGCCTTTAGGGAAACATAAAGCTAGCACACCAAAAAAGCTCTTTCAAGACACCCTGAAAAAAGTCTCTGAATGACTTCAACATAGTTTTTTCGACGTGACAGAGCATAGCTCCTGGCAGACAAATCAGGAGAGCAGCAGTCACAAGGGGCAACAAGTCATAATTATGGAGGCTCCAAGAATAATAAACGCTAAAACCAAGAGTGAAGTCCGCAAGCTGCTCACATCCACAAGGGAATGTGGAGCTTCTGAGAGCTCAGTTTTTGGGAAGCTTTCCTCTGCCAGAACTGGTCTCATTGGCCATAGCAGAAGCAACGGATCATCCTAACTTATAATTCTTCTTTCCGCTTGAGAAATATTCTCCTCTACGGATGCATTGGTCATCGCCAGACATTGACGGACGAAGTAGGCCTATTTATTATATTGTGTTTACGCACGCGTGTGTGTGCATGTGTGTATGTGTGTATGTGGTGTGTATGTGTGTGTGTGTGTGTGTGTGTGTGT